CAATCAATGACTCTCATCATTGATGTTTCTACCTTTCCCCTCTCCCTTTCTCTCTCTCTAAAACCAATAAAAACATTTTTTAATAAATGCATAACAATCCTTTAAAGTACATTCGTGTTAACAATCTAAAATTGCATGTGCTCATGTAACAAGGACAAGAAACGTAAAATAACAAAGCGCCATTACCTGAACTGGCCCACTTCAATATATTCAAACTGTTTCAGCACGAACCCAATAAACACCTGCAGCAGGAAAGAAACCACATCAACCACAAAAATATGCAGACGAGGCTCCTCTCTGTACAAGAACTCAAACGTATTTGGCTATCAAACTGGACTTCAGGACACTTCTAGAAACCCCTTTATGCACATTCCCTGAGCACTGAGGTGAGACCTCGTTGGGAGAACAAGTAGTAAGCTCCAGGAGACGCCAGGAGGACCCAAGATACAGCCGAGGACGTATCTGTTCAGCTCCAGTAGCTGTACACCGGGGGTGCTGGGAGGCGTGGGGTGGCCTAGGAGCAGATGCAGTGCATCAGGCCCATGTTGGGCCAATGGTGCGTCCGACTCCACTCCAAGCACTGTCAATTCTCCCCAGCCTGAACACGGAGCCCCCACATCTGCAGCTTCCTCCTCTGCCCTGTGTGACTCTCGCGCACAGCAGGTGCTCAATAAATCACCTGACTTGAGCTCAATGGCCTGCCCGCTCTAGTTTCCATCCTGTTCAGAAAAACTGTCATTGTACTGAATCCTAAGAACTGGGGAGCCAGGGCCTGAGTGATAGAGCATATGATAACCAACGTGAGCGGGGAGTGCTCATGGCAACAACACTAACGCTACCAAATCAGGGTGGTGGGGATGTAGATGTGCTGGCTGAGGCGGAACATGTCAGGGCCCAGAGGAAGCACAGGCTGCAGATGAGCTCAGCATGCTGGCCAAGAAGCACGGCCTGGAAGATTCTCAGGCTATCCTTGAACAAGGTTTAAGTATCGAATGGAGGTTTTAGAAAGACAGAAGCAACAACACAAAGTGTTCCGTCTCTAAACAGGCTCTATGTAGGACAACCACAGGAAGCATTTGATAGAAGTCGTCTACCTGCCAGGTCTACAAGAGCGTGAGCATCGTTCACACCTTGTCTACTAGAGAGCCCCACGATACCAGCCTGTAATGCAAGGGCCTCGGTTCTGGCTATGAAAAGTCAGACCTGATAGAGTGTGAGACCAGGAGGAGAGTGGCTCTGCCATGTCCTCACTGGACTGGATCGGATCAAGGGCTATGGTTTCCCCTCAGGTGGCACTGGCTGTGGGCCCCAGGCTTCTCCCCAGGAAGCCCTAGAGCCCTCCTCCACCCTCAAGGCTCGGCCGCCCAGCCCGCCGCTCCAGATGAGGCCTTCTCCCCCAGGAGAGAAAAGTGAGTGACAGCCCCAACCAATCCCCAAAAAGTATCTTCTACAAAGAAGGAAAGGGTGCTTTCAAATGAATTCTGGTAACTGGAGCAGGAGAAAGACGAGTAAACAGGCCGGCCGGCGGTGTGAGGCCCCCCGCAGCCCTGCACCAGGTGACGGCCCCGAACTGGCTCTGGGGAAGGCAGCACCTGGGCCCAGCTTCCTCGTTTCTTCCAAAGAAACAGACCCATTAAGGCAAGTGTTGGTGCTGATGAGGATCTATGTCTAGGCAGAGAATTAGAGTATTTCTAAGTCAAAAAAGTCCTACCTCACTTAGGAAAGTAGCTAAGATCATAGCCCCACAATGACAGCCACGTTTGATAACCTGAAGGCACCTGTATCTGCAGTGAATTTACTGGGATGAATCTTGGTTTAAGAAAAATGTGCAGCAGGAAGTGACACAACTAGCCAGAGTCACATCCCCACAATACCTTGTGAGGAAGGCCCAGTGGCCGAGCCCTACCTGGTAGGAGTGAGGGAGATGGCGAACCGAGGGGACCAGGGCAAGGGATCACTGACTCTCCTTTGGGCACATTTCTTGTTAGTGGCGAGCTCAATGCACATGACTTGAAACTGGACGTGATAAATGATCATCTGTTTATAGTAAGTCTCTGTATTCTATAAAAATGTCCCCCAAACAAAACACTTATCTTGGTATGGGGGAGGGTGCGCGGACAGGAAGAACCTACGGCAAATGTGAACAGGGGTCAACGGGGACCCTAACAGATCCGAACAGAGGGCAGAGCCTGGGGTGAGGAGGTGGATGCTGCTGAGGCAGGTACACACCAGGCCCTCTGCGTGACCCATCGTGAAATAAACCCGTAAGCCACAGAGACTGGCGGGGGAAAAACAAATGGCACGCTCCTTTAAGGTGGGTAGTTTTGGTGTCTTTCTGAGATGGTCTTTACTAAATTATGAACAGACACATAGGTGAACGACAAAAGTGACAAACCTGATCTGAATCCAGGAGACAGTAGTTGACCCGCAGCTGAACCAACTGAGCCAACAAATCCAAGACCTGCTTCTGCAGCTGCACAGACGTGGTGGTCGTGTACTGCTTCAGTGCCTTTATGACCAGAGGCTCGAACAGGCGGATGTGATTGTGAATAGCATTCTATGAAAACAACAGAGAGAATCCATGAGCGAGTCTTCAGCTAAACAGCTTCAGCAGCACCTGGACGGAGGCAAGCCGGTTTTCCCTCCAGTGCTCACCTGCCAACTCCTGCTTACCTTGTCTGCACGGTTCTTTGTGACACTTGTGAGGTTTGTCTTCAACTGGGTGGACACTTTCTGGAGTACATCGAACCACCTGCCGGTAGGAGAAAGGTGAGGGAGGAATGCTCTTCACTACTCTGCAAACCCCAGGTCACTCTCACAAACTCACACACACTCATGCATAACAACACTGCAAAGTCAGAGAGAACCTTCAATTACGCTCTTTTAATGAACACAATTAGACTAATCTGAGTCACAGCTGACAGACAGCTCTCAGGTCTGATCACCTGCAGCAGGTGACAGAGCTTCTGCTGTGTGAGGACATGGCCTACACAGCCCCGACAGCAGTGGGGCTGGAAAGGTGACGGTCATTGAAAGATTCAGGGATTTAGAAGATACCAGCTCATTTTCTTGGAAAAAACTTTTGTTTAAGTATTTACATCAGTTACACTCTTCTCTTTGTAACAAATACATACGAAAGGACAATGGTACACACACTTACACACACTTGCTGTTTTTACTTATACCCATGTTATTAGTGTTTGAAGAGCTGTTCTTGAACTTGGATATACAGTGAGTAGGCCCCACTTTGTAAAGCTCAACCATGGCAGTCCCCTTGGTGCTGACTCTAGCATTTTACCTGGAGCCAGTTTCTCACTCTATCTATAAAGGGAAAGCAAGGCACCTGAGGTTTTTACACAGAGTAGTAATTCAAATGTCAGCTCTTGACTATGTCATTTAAGAAACTACCACTGTATTTCAGGCATTATAAACACAACCATAAATTTAAGTGAAAAGAGATTTCAGCCATAAAGACAAAACACAAATATCACCCAACTCTCCTATGACCTTCAAATACCTCTGCACACTGCACTGCCGCACCACAAGGGAAGTGTCCTTTCACCTTCGCTGTAGACCCAAAAAGTGTCCCCAACACACAGCCCTGACTCTCAGGACAATGCAAGGCAGGCACTGGGAGATAATAAAGCACCTTCCATATGAGACAACTGCATGTCACAGTCTGGCTCGAGGACAATGCTGCAGGGACACTGGCTGCTCAGTCCTCCTGGTCCTCTGGCCTCACCCCTCTGAGACGGCACAACTCCAACCCCCCTCACTTACTGGACTGCACGCTCTGTGAGGCAGGGCAGGGCCTGCCTGCAGCATCTCTGTAGCAACCACATTTTCTAGAGTTCTCTGAACACAGCAAGCCCTTAGAAGATGCTGGCTACTATCTTTTTACTTTTCACCAATTTGTCCCTGCTCGCTCTTTCGTGTTTCCACCACAGACCATTCTTGACAGTGCCCGGCAGGACAGGCAGTTACCCCGAGGTGTCGTGGTCCTGCTCTGCCTGCACCATGTTCCGCAGGCTGGCGTCGGCCAGGGCCTGGGTGAAGTGGGTGTACGGAGCCATGAAGCAGTAGTGGTACAGGCCTGGTCTCATGCTGGACGAGCCGAGGCGCTGGGCTCGGCCTTGAGACTTGCTGGGGTTGGACGACAAGCCATCAAACTGGGAGGCCAAGTTTGTCCCAAAGAGAGTCTTCAACAGCTAGAGAGAAAGAAGGGAGTCACCACCATGTCACTCAAGGCAGCACGAGCAATACACCCCCACACACGAAACCATCAAAGATGACTAGAAGGATGAGAAAACGCAGGCACAGAATTCCCGTTGCAAGTCGCTATTCACACCCGTGAGACTGGCTGCTCTGCTGAGAGGCGCTGTTTTCACCTTAAATAACCCTAGTAGTTTTGGGTTGTTCTATGGCTCTAAATGAGACCGGGCACGCTAACGCCTGCAGGGACATGGGACAGCTACGTGACTAGGGCGCAGCACAGCTTCAAGAGCCCTGCACCCCTGGGGACAGGCCTCCTCCGCCAGGCCACCACCACCTGCTAAGTGACAAGTAGCATCAGATCACTGTGCCCAGAATGAAGGGGGAAACAGAAAGGACAGGAAACTACTTTCTCACCTGCTGGACGCACACAGTTGCCATCATTGGTTCCCGGCTGAAGCAGGACTTCAGGTACCCTAGGATCTCCTCCACGCACTGTGGGAGGAAGCAGAGATGCAGGAGGAAGTGACTGAGGGTGACTCACTCCGGCCATGGCTCTAGACTGCACGTTCTCCTACACTAACTTCCACCAGAACATCTACTCCCACTGAACAAACGCCGACAGACAGCTACTGCCTCCCAGGCACCACTGCAGAGGCGCTCGGCCCAGAGGCTGCCTGGCAGGTGTGGAAGCTACAGTGCAATGAGAAGTGAAACTCGAACCTTCCCGATGTCCTGCAGCGTTGCCAACTCCAGAATCTGAGAGAGAACGTCCAAGGCTGAGCGCAGGAACCCCCCAAACTTCTCTGTGCTGTTCTGAAGGTCCAAGGTGACCTTGGGAGGGCGAAGGAAGAAAACACCTGGTTACTGCGCCGTCCCACCTGGCTGTCTAAAACGAGGGCGTGCTGTCTGCAGCAGTGGGACGCAGAGCCCCATTCCCTCGCCATCTGGAATGTTCTTGTCTTTTTTTCAGCACTGGAAAATGCCTTGGAAATTACTCTTCTAGTAGCTGTAGGAAAACTATTTTCTTTCAAAGACATTTTCCTACTTACATTGACTCTACTGACAGAAACAATCCTAATCTTCTGTTAAAATGGAAAAAATGTTAACAGTCCAGCATAACCAGTATCTGACAAGCAGCACATCAAAAAATATACTTTTTGTTCCATATACATTAGGATGCCTGTGGAAAATCATTATCAAGTTCAGAACCAGCCTTTCAGTCTGGCTACAACAAATATTAAATTAGTCTTAAGAAGTATTAAGATTGTAAAGGACTCAGCTTAATTAAATTAGGCAGCAATTCCCCATTTAAAAAGCCAAAAGAGTGCATCAGGTCCCAAGATGTAATATGTAAGAACAAGGTCAAGGGGAAGAGACAGATCATGAAAATAAAAACTGGAAAAACTCTGCACAAGTGCCACAGTAAGTAGAAAGTAGCTCAATGAAATAAACTCTGACCACCCACAGTGAAAAGAGGAGAGCAGGTAAGAGACACAGGATGAAGGCGTAAGTGGGCCTGACCCTGTGATCCCTCATGTCTCCCTGAGGGTGTCATCAACAGGCCCAGAAGGAGGCCAACTCCAGGAGTGAGGGCACCGCAGGCTGGGGAATGAAAGGGTCCACCTCCAGCAGGCATCTGACGGGAGTGGGGGGTAGGGGGTGGGGGCTGGAAGCTGCCATGAACAAGGCTGAAGGCTACTTGGAGGAAACTACCTGCCATTCATAAACCTGCGTGTGTACAAGCTACCAAAGTGAGAAAAACATCAAGGGCCCAGGAGTACTTGGGCAGGTGCACGCTCACAGGAGCAGTGGTACCTTGTAGTTGGCGTGCGTAGCTTTCAGGACGTCGTGCAACTTGAGGTACGAAGGAAGGTGGTAGAAACTCCCCATTGATGAGGATTTATTTGCTGTAACAGGCCCTGAGGCATCTGATTGTCGGGAGGCTTTAAAACACACACACACAAAAAGGTTGAGATCAAAAGTAATCAACTGCTAAATTTAAAACAGATTAGTGGCAACGATTTTAGAAAGTACTCCAGTAGGATGAAAGTCAAACTTTTTCTCTTTCAGTCAGAAGCAACGAGACGCTGACTAATGAACGTAAGTAGAACCGAGTGCCTCCCAAACAATGACGTGGAAGAGGAGGAGCACAGTGCGCCATTGCTCCTTTAGTTCGTCTGGTTGCCTGTTTGCCAATCAGAGCAGCAGCTAATTCGATGGCCTGCAGCCAATCGCACACGCTCTCCGAGCCCAAGGCTGCCAGTGGCAGGACCCGCTGGCCAAGTTAGCTGATGGCTATTTCAGTCAAGTTAGGTCCCGGCCCTCTCAGCCGCCCAACGGGGGACACGCGAACACGCTCTGACAACTGTAAAAGGGACGCACATAGTCATTACAGCGGCACAAACACTCAAGCGCCAAGCACTACATAAAAGTGCTCGGGTCTAAAGAGCTCTGGCGTTGAGTCCTTAGTCATCCACTCATCAGGAAGGTGAGCAGGCAGCGACAACTCTGCTGGTGAGGGAAGGTCTGAAGCCGTCAGGTTGGCGACCTTCCTGCAGAGCTGTCGGCAGCTTTGAAAGCACGTGTGTATGGGCTTTACCAGCAGAATGGATGGCAGGGGGGTCGCAGCTGTGCCCATGCACCGTGCAGGAGCCGGCAGTTACCTGCTTGGCCTGGTCCCCCTGGAGCATGGACTCCGTAGCTGTAATCACACAGAACTTCTGGCCCCTGTGGTTCTGACTCACCCGCAGGGGATGCAGCAGCCCCTCCAAGCGGCTGGGAATTTTCCAGGCTCTTCTCACTCAGAAGATTGTATCCCCTCTTTGTCTCCCACTGGGTGCTCCCCACTATAAATCTCCCATTTCCCACTTCAGAACTCTCCCCTCTGGGAATCACCTCTCCCCTTGGTCTCTGTGCCCCACCTCCCTCACTGAACACCAGGATCCCTGCCCTGCTCTGCAGTGAGAAGGGGCAGCACAGGGAGGAGGCAGCCAGCAAGGCTCCTTGCAATGGCCCAGGCACTGCAGACTGCTGTGACTGCATTTGAGCAAGTGGCACTCAGACATGCTTAAGACCCAATGTTGTCTAGACACACTCACCAACTCGTATTTAATATCTGAAACCACACCTGGGGAAACCATTTCTCTGGCTTCAGTGCTGTGTATTTTATTTCAAAAAGTACCTAGTTATTACAATATCTCTCTTTTTTTTTTTTATACAACCCAGGTACATGCCCTGGACCAGAAATGGAACCTGAGACCCTCTGATGCACAGGCTGAAGCTCTAACCACTGAGCCACGCTGGCCAGGGCTACATTATCTTTGACAAGAATGTAAGGTTAAGTCCTAAATGTCTGTGATACAGATACACTCCTCCCTCCTGGTCACCTCCCGCTTCGTACCTGGACTGGCGTCACTTCCCTTCTTGGGGCTCAGTGGCACAGATGCCTGTTCACCTGGTTCTTTCTCCTTCCCTTTCCGTCGGATGGGACTTAGAGAAGGGGGGTTCGTCAGGGACGGCAGGGCTGCCTAGAACAGAGAACAAGAATCTGGGAGTATAACCAACATGAAAGCTGGAATCTATGGCACACAGTTTATTCATTTATGAAAAGAACCAACCCATATAATTCATTTTCTGAGTCCACTCTTACAGAGCTCAGGAACAGAACATACACCATGTACTTCATTCAACCACACAACAACGCCATGTGGTGCATATTGACCAGAACTTCCTGCAGGTGCACTAGGGGTGTTCCAAATGGAAGGGGCCCCTGGAACCCCAGGCACATCACCTCCAAGAGTAGCAACCAGAGTGTTCTCAGGGAGCCATGACACCAAACAGGGCGTGAAGCCTCATTTTAAGCTCCGCCTTCCAGATGAGGAAACAGCTCAGAGAGGAAGTGACTATTCGAGGTCACAGCCAATAGGTGGCCGAGCTAGTGTCCACAGACTGCAGAGCGTCCAGCCAGCCAGGAAGCAGCCAGCAGGGGACAGTGAAGATGACAGTGAAGATGACAGTGAAGGGGACAGAGACTGGACTTTAGGCCCCAGCTCCGCTAGTCACTCACTTGCGACCTCGGAGAACTCACCTTGCAGGTCAGAGCATGGCCTGCAAAGCAGCTGTGGTGGAGGAATGGCTGCAGTTGGGAGGGATGAAGCAGCAGCAGGGAGGAGTAGAGGGCAGCACACCGATGGCTGTCCCGGGAACACACTGGGGGGGGGCAGACACACCAGACACTGTGTGTAGGACTCCAATTACATCAATGGCAGAACAGGCACATCCACAGAATCGGAAAGGCCAGTGGCTGTCTGGAGCCAGGGGACTCAGGAGGGTGGAGGGGTGACGGCTAAAGGGCACAGTGTTCCTTTCTGGGTTCCAAAATGGACTGTGGTGGTGCCCAAACGATTCTGTGGGCACATTGAGACAAGTGAACTGTAGTCAAGTGGGGAGTGGTAGGTGCATGAACTGTGCTCTAACTGTATCGTGTCAATAATGCTGTTTCAGAAAAACAGGCTACTACAGTCGTCCAGATGAGATACTCCCTCCGTGTGGACCAGAGCAGTGGCAGTGAACACAGAGAAAACTGTGTCTGTGTATCTGGGTGCATATGCATGTGTACAGGTGTGTATGTGTGTATAGATACATGTACACATATATGTACATATATGTAAATGGTTCCTTGCAAGATACTTAGTAGGGAAAACAAGGACTTGGGGGCGAGAATGAAGGGTTGCGATGACTCCCACGTTCCCAGCTTTATAAAATACAAAGTGAGAGGAATGGGGCAGGTGCAGGCTAGCAGGAGGCTGGCAGTGCAGGTGTGGCTATGCCTGAGCTGTCTGTGAAGCACCCACGCAGAAGTGCTGAGTGGCAGCTGACCCACAGGACAGTTTCAAAGACAGGTCTAGGGCCTCTGATGTTTAGATGGTAAAGACAAGAGAGCAGACCTGACTGCCTGGCGTGATCCTGTCCTGCACCAGAGCCACTACCTACATGTGGCTACTGAAATTTAAACATAATGACACACAAAATTGGAAGTTCAGTAACCCTCATGCACTGCTAATAGGAATGTAAATTGGTGCAGCCACTGTGAAAACAGTATGGAGGGGCCTCCAAAAATGAAAAATGAAACTATCATAAGATCCAGCAATTCCACTTCGGGGTATATATCTGAAGAAACCCAAAACACTAATTTGTAAGGACACATACACCCCTACATTCTTTGCAGCATTGTGTACAGCAGCCAAGATTTATAAGCAGCCCAAGTGCTCATCATAGATGAGTGGATAAAAAGCTGTGAGACAGCCTGGCTGGTATGGCTCAGTTGGCTGGGCCTTGTTCCATGCACAGAAAGGTCGCCAGTTCAATTCCAAGGTGAGGGCACATGCCCCGGTTGTGGGCTCAATCCCCTGTAGGGGGAGTGGAGGCAGCTGATGGACGTTCTACTCTCATATCGATGTTTCTCTCTCTGTGTTCCTCTCCCTTACTTTCTCTCTAAAAATTAATAAAAATATATATATATATTTTAAAGGTGTGGTACATATATACAATGGAATATTACTCAGCCATTAAAAATGACATCTTACCATTTACAATAACATGGATGTACCTAAAGAATATTATACTAAGTAAAATAAGTCAGACAGACAAATGCCATGTGATTTCACTTATATGTGGAATCTAAAAAAACAAGTGAACAAAATAGAACAGACTCAGAGATACAGAGAACAGACTGATGGTTGCCAGAGGGGAGGGGGCATTGTGGGTATTGGTGAAAATGGGGAAGGAATTACAGGTACACATTGGTCATCACAGAACAGTCACGGGATGTAAAAAACAGCACAGGGAACACAGTCAATAATATTGCAATAACTAAGTTTGGTGCCAGGTGGGTACCAGACTTATCCAGAGGAACACTTCATAAACTGTATGAAAGCCTATCCACTGTGCTGCGCACCCGAGACTAATATGATGCTGAATGTAACTGTACCTGAAAAAGATAGTAATTAACAAAGGAAGTTCAGTTCCTTAGTCACGGTGCCTACATGTCAAGTGTGCAGTAGCCACAGGTGGGTGCTACTCTCCCACCTGACACAGATGTGGCACGTTTCCATGGTTACAGAGAGTTGCACCAGAAGGTACTGCCCCAGAGTATGAAGCAGGACAAAGTCTGGAAAGCATTCACGGTGGGCTAAAGACCAAACCTGGAAAGCGCCCAGGAACAGCAAGGGTCAGGAAAAACAAGCTGATCTGGAAGCCAACATGAGACAATGTTCCAGGACAGGAGAGCGGTGCTGAGTGAGGCAGAGGGGAAATGAGAGGGCCCGAGAAGTGTCCATGAGATTCAGAGGCTGATCTGGGCAGGAGGAGCTGCTGGGGAAAGTGATGGCAGAAATGAGACCAGCAGAGGCTAGAGACTGGGTGGCCGGGAACGGACAGAGGCCAGGCAGAGCCTCACAGAGGGCTCATGTAGGGGCAGTGGGGAGTCCTCGGGGGTTAGCAACAGACAGGACTATTCAGGGGAGTTGGTAGTGAGGGAGAACCTGAGGTCATCCGAGCCTGTTCGAGAGACAGAAGACAGGCAAGAGAGGGAAAATCAGATGTAATTATGAGGGTACTGATCTATCTTAAGTCCACTATGCAAAGAGTTTGCCATTGGCCTATACTTCACAGAGAAGCAAAACTGTCTGCCAGAATCTCAGGGGAGAGCAGACAAGTGAACAAGCCAGCACCTCAAATCTGGCTTTCTTACTAATGCGGAAAACGGAAGAATAGAGCCAGCTTTGCCCTCAGGGGGGAACAGTGATTGAGGACGACACCGAAGGGCTACGGATGGGATGATCGCACTTTGTGTTAAGTTCAGTATCACAACATGAGCAACTTCGTTCACTTAAGTAAAAGAGAGCAGGGGGACAGGCGGTTTAGTACACACAGGCATGCTTTGAGCCCCGTGTAGCTCTGTATGGAAACGGGGGCCCCCGCACAAGGTTACCTTCACTGCGGGCCCAGGAGCCACCTCGTCCAATACGTGGGCACAGACATTGATCACCTTCAGCAGGTGGGAGAAGAGCTGCTCCACCATGGGCACCAGGGTCCGGTCCCCCAGAGCTGGCCATGCCTCTTCCTGCTTGGCGGTGGCCGGGCTGGCCTCGTCGTCAGCGGTGAACGAACTCCTCAGAGACCTGGGGGCACTGGCTGTGATACGGGCACAGGCGTTAGCTACTCCTCCGCAGCGCACACAAGGGAAGTGGCTCCGGAAGCGTGCCGTTCAGACCCACCCACATGGGGGTCTCCACCTGACAGTAACTAACATCTCAAAGTCAACAGGAAATGGACAGTGTCCCCAAAAACCAGGCTCCCAATTTCCATGCCTGTCCCCATCAGACACCACCCAGAACGGGACAGTCGCCCCAGAGCCCGTCTCGATCTTTACAAGCGAAGTCCGAGCGGTGGCCCAGGCCTGCTGCTCTGCCCGTCGTCCACTTTCCGCCCGTCCCCTCCCACAGCAGCCCTGCTCTCCTGCCCGCCTGCAACACCACTGTCTCGTCCAGACTCTGTCTCCTCCCTTAACTGCAATGTGAACCTCCTGAGCTTCCCACCTTCTCCAACCCACATTTCTAAAATACAGGGGTGGGCAAAAGTAGGTTACTACTAATAATAATACTATTAATACAATAATTAATAAATAACACAAGAATAAACTCTACAATTTACGTACTCACAGCTGTAAACCCACTTTTGAACACAGTTTATTCTTGCATTTATTTATCTATTACTGTGTTAATTGTTGTTGCTAGTAGTAGTAACCTATTTCTGCCCAGCCCTGTACTAACTTGGCTGTCAGTCCCTCTCATGAAGCTCCTCGACAACCCCCCCGCAGCGAGCGGAACAAGTCCTCCTAATGCAGGCTGGCAACACCCACACTCATTGACTTCCATGGGCCCCTCCTGCCTCCGAGCCACATTCTCCATCCCAGACTTCCAGTTCTCAGGTGTCACATAATTTTTCCTGTCTCCAGGTCTTGGCACATGCTATGCCCTCCGTTAGGTGCCCTTTCCTGAAGCCTGTAAGTTCTGTTTCCTGTCCTGAGCCCCAAAGCGATTATGGCCACTCTGTGCTGCCACTCTAGTTTCATGTGTCCCCCCTCATCTACACTTGTCGACTTGAGAACGGAGCCCACACATCACACTTTCTTACCACCCTACTGCTGAGACAGTGCCTGGCCCCAGGTGCCCCCTAAACTGAAATTAGAAATGCACTTGCCTGTACCTGTCGGGGAGCTAGACTGGGAAAGGGCTCCATCAGAACATTTTGCACACACTAGTTGCCCACAGCCCACATTCACGCACAAAGGTCACATCTGATGTTGGCAACATAGGGAATAAGCTGTTACTGGCAGTGACCTCACAGTACTTCCCCCCTCAAGTGCTCACTACCCTGCCCCTTGAAAGAGAAGCAAAAGCTAAGACCAGAGGTCTCTAACCTGCAAGCAAATTTCCGGCTAAGATCAAAGCATCCTGATGGGCTGAGAGATCCAACGGGAACCAAGCTGACGAGAGCAGGGTAAGGATCATCGTGGCCATGCCGACAGTACAGCTCTTCCTAGACTCGTCCAGGGTGCTCAGTGGGGGCACCCTGGAGGCAGACATTTGTGAGGTCAAATTGCAGAAAAAGTTTTAAGGCAGTTTTTTTAAAAAAATATATTTTTGCAGATCTTTTTTAGAGAACGAGGAAGGCAGAGAGAGAGAAACACTGATGTGAGAGAGAAACATCGATCAGCTGCCTCCTGCATGCCCCCTACCAGGGATTGAGCCCGCAACCCAGGCATGTGCCCTGACCAAGAATCAAATCAGCGACCTTTCAGTGTACAGGATGACACTGAACCAAACAGTCTCACTTTCCCTCTGAACCAAGAGGAAGGCAGATCACTGTACATTTCACACCAGCTCATAAAGCGATTTTACGATTAACTAACATCTTTCCTGTAAACCACAGCTCCGTAAAAATCATTTGAGAAATAAAATCTGGTAGCTGGTCTGATTAAAGGTATTACAACTGTTTACTTTGATAACTTTTTAACTTTAACTTCTTCTTTTTTCTTAAATATGTCTTTATTGATTCAGAGAGAGGAAGGGAGAGGAAGAGAGATAGAAACATCAATGATGAGTCATCATTGACCGGCTGCCTCCTGCACGCCCCCGACTGGGGATCGAGCCCACAACCCAGGCATGTGCCCTGACCAGGCATCGAGCTACGATCTTCCGGATCCCAGGTCGACGCTCAACCGCTGAGCCACGCCCGGCCGGGCTAAACTTTAACTTTTGAGTTAGCACACTTTACTCAGTGCGAAGTTGCTCAGAAGTCAAGTGCTAGATGTGATGAGAAACTGCAGTTGCTCCGTAGGTATTTGTTGACAAAGGAAGTCGTCCCTCTAGACGGGAGAGTGCAGCCAACGTCAGCCATGTTTCCCAGCCATGCGCTGACACACATGAATCTGCAGGGTTACTTCCACACACGATGGTGACCATGCTAGTGTACGGAATAAAAGCTTACTTACTCCTTAATGCTGTGGGAGACTTGAAATTATTCCACGGGTGCTACTGGGGCCATCCACTGGCAGAACATCACTTTAAATAAAAGCTGCTGAGGCAACACAACAGCTCCTAAGCCACACTCCTGTGCTCATCACAATTCAGTGTGTAGGTCACATTTGATTTTAAACAAGAAATATTTCTAAATGTTTAACACACAGTGAATAATTCTGAAGAGAAGCAGGCGAATTTGAAATCTTTCTGCCCTGGCTAGGTGGGTCAGCTGGTTGGAACATCACCCCGTGTAGCAAATGGTGGTGGGTTCGATTCCCAGTCAGGGCACATACCTAGATTTGGGTTTGATCCCAGTCAGGATGCATACAGGAGGCAACCGGTTGATGTTTCTCTTCAAGTCAATGTTTCCCTCTCTCCCCCTTTCTCTCTAAAATCAATAAAAACATATCCTCAGGTGAGAATGAAAAGAAGCCCTTTGCCAACATATGCGAATTCTTGTAAACGAGTCTCCCACAACGCTGAAAAGTGAGCATCTGATGTCCAGTAATTACAACCAGCTCAGTATTTCCCAGTGGCTCCTACCACCAGTTCCCACACCACTAAAGCACAGAAACAAGCATCCGTGGGGTAATTTTCCAACAGGTCAAGTTGATAAAGGACTTAATAAGAAAGGAGGAATAGGATCCCAGTAAGTGTTTGCATCATGTCACCATAGACACCACGTATGGAGAAAACACTTACCCACAATGCCAGCCCAGACTCCAAGTGCAGACAGGAAAGGCAGTTGAGAGAAGACACAAAGCTTCGCAGCATCCGAACTAAAGAGGAAGGATGAGGAATCACACCCAAACACCAAAAGCCTTCATTACACTGCGCCTCCTTACATGGAGCACAAGCAGTGGAGACCCGTGTCTCACACTGGGATGTCTGACCAGCGCCGGGCAGGTCCTGCCGAGAGCTGTCATTGCCCTGCGCCTCTCCCCGTGCCCACAACGCCCCCACTCCTTCTGCTCTGCCCAGCTGGTTAATGTCCATCCCCCGACCAGATGGCAAGAACCACAGGGTAGGGTCCTATCTTTACATCCCAAGCCTACAATAGTGCCTGACACAGGGAGGCCACAGTAAATACTAATAAAAAGTGTTTACAATATGGTGAAAAAAATCAAAGGAAAACCAAGCTACAGTGAGCCCAGACAGTCTTCAGGTTTGAAAGGCTCATCGAGACACCTGACCCTGGCTGTCTGAGCTCCCTCGACACAGAAGCATTGCTCCCCTCAGAGTAAGTGACAAGGTCTGGCCTGCCGATCAGCAAATCAGCATGACTTTTGACCTTTTCTGATTATAAAAAGTTACACTTGTTCATTTTAGAAAATTTGTAGTATCTTAAAACATAAAAGAAAACAAAAATCATTCATCCAAAAATCAATTTTGGCGCCTTTCTCCCCGCCACACTCCTGAGTGTGAGAAGTGTGTGTGTGAATGTTGTTCTTTGTGACCGAGGTCTGACTACACACGAGCATGCAGTTTTGTACTGAGCCTTTTTCCACTCAAAATCATAATTCAGGCTACATCTCTCTATATTGTTAGAAGTTCTTCAAGCATCCTATTAATACGTGCACCATAAATGCACCACCGCATACACTGAAGTTAGTCATAATCCGAACTCAATGGTTTTTGGGTTCTTGGATAGTATGGTTCATTCCCAATTTCAGCATCATAAAAAATGATAAAAATAATTACATTACACAAAAATCTTTGTTGGCATTTCCGGGTTTTACCCCTTAGTGTATGTTACAAAGTCGCTGAGTCAGTTATATGAGAGACAGTTTAAACTCCTAATACCAATTTAGATTATGGCAGTTTTTATTTTGACTTACATGTCTTCCTGTATTGGCTGATTTTTTTTTATGAGCACTTGTTTCTTACACAATCAGAAAAAGTAAAGTTGTTCACATTCCTGCTGGCAACAAGATTTTGTTCACAGAAGCACAATGTCTTAGTTAGCCCCACAAGTAAGAGTCTAACACATAATCTTACCATTAAGAACTGACCTTAAGAACTAGTGAAAAGTAATTTCACTAAGGCCGACCAATGAAAAGAGACTGACTTACCGTGAGCGCCCGAGTGGTGGACGTGATTAGCTGGTGAGACACGGCTGCGATGACTCTGGAGAGGTTATTCTCCATGGTGACATCGGGGATGCTGGGCAGTAAGTTATAGCCTCTATATATTCTGATAAGAGAGTATCAGAGTCACACAGAAAAGTACACGTGTCAGGATGTGGCCTGTACTGAACTATTAAAGTTTATGGTGTCAATCCTGCATGACTTAAAGAGGTGGGTGCTAAATGCTGAAAAAGAGAAACATCCTATCACAGGAAGATGATCTACTCAGACACCCTCGTCTAAAGGTTTGGTTTTGTGTGTTTTTCCCCCTAGAATATTGTTTTAGATGAAAGCCCTAAAGCATGAAAGGGTGCATTTCCCAACAGGCCCAGTTTGTGTACCTGGTTATGGTGCTGACAGAGAAGTGAGATGCAGGCTGCGTCTCGTGCATAAGAAGTTTCAGGTAAACACTGCTCTGGTCCCTTGCCACTGCCACCACTGGATCAGCCTGTCCTTGGTCACATTTATAAAACAGCTTTGGGACAAGCCTAAAACAAAAGTAAGATTTGTTTACTTGAGAAAGCACTGAAACTCCCCTGTGGTTCTCCACCCTTCTCTGTCAAGGTGGTTAAGCCCCCAACACAGTCTACCCTCAGAAGACCACTTCCCTTTTCCAGGCCTGGCTTTCTTCATGCACGTTAGGGTGGGGTCCCCAATCACAGGGCCACTCACCCACACACCCACTCTGAAATAACTGGGTGCCATACTTTCTTTTTGTCTGTCATAGAATTAAGCCAGGGCAAAACTCCATCTATTGTATGATCCCATTTATAGAACATGTCTGGAAAAAGGGAATCTCTGGAGACAGGAAGCAGGTTCGTGGCTGCCTGGGCAGCGGATGGGAACTGGGAGTTTGCAGACCAGCACAAGGGATGTTAGTGGGATGACGGAGATGTTCTAAAATTAGATTGTGGTAATGGTTACACAAGTCTGTAAATGTACTAAAAATCATTTAATTGTACACTTACCTTGCATGCATTTTAAGGCATGTAAATCATACCTCAAAAAGCTATTAGAAAAAATTTTAAAAACATCAAAAAGCTTGGCCTTAGTAACTCAACTTCCCAAAATTAATTTAAAGGAAAAAAATTATTCATAAACATTTATGGCAACAATGTTGACTGGATCATTGTTGACTATTTAAATCAAAGATAACTTTAGCCCTGACTGGTATGGCTCAGTGGGTTGGAGCAGAGCCTTGTCCCAGGCACCGAAGGGTCACAGGTTCCATTCCCAGTCAGGGCACATACCCAGGTTGCTCATTCAATCCCTGGTCAGGGTGTGTACAGGAGGCAACCAATTGATGTCGATGTCTCTCTCTCTCTCTCTCCCTCTCTCTCTCTCTCTCCCTCCCCCCCTCCCCT